GACAGTTTTTTTTTCTACGCAAAAGGTGTTATCGTATTAATGATAAAGCATGATTTTTTGCATCCTATGATATTCCTAATTTCCTCTTTCATTTTGGTCATATTTCCTGATTTCCTCTCTTCATTTTGTATGTATACACAGTGCTACATAAAATATAATTATATAAAATTAATGTGAAATATTTTTTTCTTTTATACTGCGATTTATATACTAATTTCACTTTTTTCTTTTTATTAGGAGATTATTCGCATGCGCTTGCGACAATTTAGCATATTCGAGTTTAATGTTCATCACTGGACTAGTTACATGAAGAATATGAAGAAAAAAAGATCGATAGACACGTCAATCCAAAGTTCATAGGCGACAATCATATCTCGATATGATGCCTCTTTTGTTACTTTCATTGCTCGTATCTGTCTTGGATAAGTTTCACTTTTCAGTTATACCTTTTCAGTTATAGTGTTATATAAACACTAGGATCTAGACGTGTGAACACAGCGTAAAATCTACACCGGAGAATTCCCCGAAACGTGTTAATACCCAGCACGATAATAATCGTGAATCTGTTACGTAGGAAAAACGAGCGCGGAATCCCGTCGATTTATCTTACATCGACGACTATCACGACGAGTAGAAAAACAAAGAAAGAAAAACAAAATGGTATATTCTGCTCTGATCGGTTATTCGACCCATGAAACGATCATGCATACACAACTTGTATGTATGTATCGTCCTTGACACGTTCCTACACGAATGACACGAATTTACGTCATAGGAACAGGGCCTGATTTACCCAATATTATATGCTCTAAAAGAAGTAAAATTATACAGATGTAAAATTTATGAGTGAACATGCAAAAAATACATATGAGTTATATTGGGAACCTCCTTTTTTTTAAGTAAATTGAAAACAAGACTTATGCAAGAAATTAATTTTTATTATAAGTCATATTAACTTTTACGATTGTTGTGCATGTAATTTTACATATTTTTTTTAGCTTTTCTTTTAGCTTCCAGATGCTTCGGTCAGCAAAGTTTTATGGACAAACTTTGTAAGATTTTTATTTTCACGAGAGAGACAAATAAAAATTAATCTGTTTCGTCTAATGCAATTCAATATGGAAAATTTTTATTCTTTGAATTTTTAATCTTGGCTAATCTATGAAATACAAATAAAAATAACCTGCTTCGTGTAACATGAATTATGCAGTTTAAGATGTAGCAAATGTTTCTTCTTTACAGTTTTTATTTTAAGTAGTCTATGAAACGGATGGAGCGAGGCCATGGGACGCAACATGCCCTCTTTGCACACGCAAAAAAATATTTTGCTGCTCCAGCTAGAATTATAACTGTTTTTTGTATCTGATAGAAAATTATATATCATACGCATAGAATTTATAGCACAAATCTAAATTCTATCTCTGTCATCTATATGATTAGATACAATACATATCCAATATCGCAATACCTGCTAGAAATTTATCTATTCCAGCTATTTTTCGTACTTAGATAATTTTCGCTGTAACTGCAAGATCACTTTTTTCAGTGCAATATAGCTATTTTAGAAGATGCAACACTATTCATGCTTCAATCATTGACCGCCTCATAGACTACTTAAATTAAAAATTAGAAGCAAAGAAGGAACATTTATTTTATTTTAAACCGCGTAAATCACATTAGACAAAGCGGGATCATTTTTATTTGTATCTCATAGATTAGCCAAAATTAAAAATACGAAGAAGAAAGATTGACGTCTAGCAGAACATTTTTCGCACTATTGGAAATTTTTTTTCGCTGAAATAGGATAATTCTTTTAGATCTAAAAGTATGATTTAGACTACCGTTTACTTGATGCTACGAAGCATTTTTTGATTGGTCAATTAGTGAAATTCTTTCTTTCGATTGGTCAATCAAATACTTCGAAGCATTTGTAGCGCCAGGTAGACCGCCAATCAACGCGAAGAAAACTTCTAATAGTTACAGAATGAACGTTCTGTTGAACACAGCTATTATTGAATATTTAATTTTTAAAAAACGAATCCGATTGATCTACAAGCGATTATTTAATCAGCAACTGCAGAATATTTGCGTTTCTTTTTCCGGAGTTGCTAAAGGTCGATGAGAAAGTAATGGCGAATGCATATTAAAGCCGTTGTACACTAATTTAATTTAAGTATAAAAATGAAATGCAAATATTTCGAATTATGAAATACATATTTTACCTAATAATACAATAAAATGTATTAAGTATTTTACGATTTAATCGATCTCTATGTTTATTTATAAACATATCTTTACGTTATTTCGTGTACGACGGCTTTAATGTGCGCACTGAGTGCGTCCAATCGAATTCGCTATAAGATCCGATCCTGCACGCGGGACGATCGTTCATAAAAGGCGGTGCCTGAACCGGTTTCACGGAAATGACGTCTGTACACTACATATATTTACTTACAGCAATATGGTGAACTACGTTAGATCATTTGTGGGAATCTCGCGTGCCGCCTATATTGTTTTTTTTTTTTTATCGAGCGGTAGTGGCGATTATTAGCAACGATGTCACATATAGATATCACAAATGCACATACGTATACTTTTCATATTACAATGTGCATGACACGTGATCTTCCGCACGCAATTAATAAGAAAAAAAATTCATTCGTTTTAATTCAACACTTTGTTGCGTTTTCGTTCTCCAATACTAATTCTAAATATCAAACACGCAAGAAGATGGTCGCAACTGTAGGCGAACAGTTCTAAAGTAGAGAATCCCGAGTTGACTCATCGGAACTGTCACTGAGACACTATCACCAATCCGAACCTTCGACCACGCAGTCCGGTACCGACTGACTCCAAGTACTCTGACTGATTGTGCCTGTTGTCCCCTTCTTTCCTTCTCTCCCTCTCTTTCTCTCTTCACTTCTTCGTCCCCACTTGTACTCTTTCTGTTCTCCCTCTCGCTTAATCATTCTTGTTCCGTGTTTTTTTAACTAATACGTCGTCGATAGATGAAAGAGACGTACATGTTACCTGGGGTCATAAACTTCTGAACGTGAATCGTATATGTGGAATCGCATTATAACGTCAGTTTGAACGAGTTAAATAGGAACTGATAATAATTATATTAATATAATAAATTATTATTATATAATTATTTTTAAATATAGATAATAAAAGCTACACAGAGAGAAAAATGTTTGGTATTTTTAACTATAATTATGTATTACTATAATTATGATTATTACTGCTATAATAATAATAA